AGTCATCCCGGCCTCATTGAGGACTAGAGTCTTGTTCTCTCTGCATGAGGGACATCCGGGAATAGTCCGGATGAAGGCACTTGCATGCAGCCATCCTTTCCCCCCCACCCCAAGTTTTTTATTAATTTTCCAATATTACATTTACATATTTGAAAAGTAGCATGGCAGTTGAGCACCGTAATTCCATTACATTTGAATATCATCAGTACAAATCTCAAAGTATTACAACTAATTCCCTCTCTTTCCCCCATAAAATCTACTGTCGTATTCAGATCAATACAGTTCTTATTCTATCAAACAAAAAATACCTTTCTAGTATTCATCAATAATCTTCAGTCTATACATATCTTAATTAATTTGACATTCCATCTTTTAGACAATAACCTAATAGGTTTTTCTTAACTTTAATTTCACATTGATATTTAACGTTTAATCTTTATCATTTCCAGATTTTAAATGATCCCAATTTCTCAGTCTCCTATCTCATATTTAGGGCTAATAATTTTTTTTTCTTTTCCTCTTTCTACTTCCTTCCTTTCTTCCTTTCCAGAAAAAGAGAAAAAAATAAATAAACCATCAGCATTTATACCACAAGCCAATATACGAATTTAATTATTAGTATTTATACTTCTAAGTTTTATTTAACCTGTGTCTCAACTCATGACAATATCTTAAATTCAAGTCTTAGTTATCTATAAACATTCAAACTTTTAGCAAATCAATAACCTGGCGATTAATTTTCCCTTAATATTTTAATTTAACGTTTAATATTTTTTTCCAAATTTTAATTAAGCACAATTCCTTTATCACAATTCCTCATATAATCTAATATTTAAAATACAAACCTTATATGTAAGTTCTACCATATATCTTAACAAACTAATAAGACAATATAACATTCTTATTTCAATATTTATATTTCTAGATTTTATAAAACCAATTTTTTTTTATCTCAAATCATTACAATATCTTATGTTCAAAATACATATTCTATCCATTTAGATATATTCTATTTTAGATCTCATGTATAGATCAAAACCCCAATCCCTTTCAGTCTTATTCTAGCTTTTTTCCTCTGCCAAATCATCTTTCGTATCTTCGCTTTTAAATCATCAAAAAGATCTCCTTGTATTGTTGTGACTATTGTTTGATATTGATAAGGGCATTCAGTTGCTGTTTTCTTAAGAGGGCTAGCTGATTTAGCAGGTCGTCTCTTTATTTTTCCAGTTCGATGCAGTTTTCCGGAAGTATTTATCTTCTCTTTCATCTGTTTTTCTTTTTTATCTTCAAATTCCTTCTGGTTTATAAGAAAAGTCCTTTCCTTGTTCTCTATTATCAGTTTCCTTTTTGTGTTTTCCACTGTTTGTATTTGTTGAGTATCTAAGTCTTCTGTCACAGCATTTGGTTGTTTCCCTTTCTCTATAGAATTCTGTATAGATGATTCGTTAGTTGAAGTCATAGTTTGATCTTGCATACGAAGAGTTTGGATAATTGCTTTTAACATATAAAGAATTTGTTCTTGTACTTGCTCTGTGGGAGAAATCCATTCCTGTTCTTCCATTGTAGTGTATTAAACTAAACAAAAAACCTACAATCAGAAAGTCCACCAAGTAAAGAGCTGAGCTGAGTTTCTTACAGATGGTGCTTCAAGGTTGCTTTATATCAGCGGTTCTCAACCTGTGGGTCGCAACCCTTTTGGGGGTCGAACAACGCTTTCACAGGGGTTGCCTAAGACCATCGGAAAACACATATTTCCGATGGTCTTAGGAACCGAGACACCGCTGCTCTATCTGGCCGCCGCCACCGC